GTTCTTCATTAAACATTTTGTTCTCTGTGGACAGGATCTTGTTCTCTGTTGACCAGATCTTGTTCTTCAATAATTCCAAGTTGCTCTACGTGGATGCAAAGTTGCGTTTATTGACTGCGTCCTGTTGTGAAAAAGTATTGACCGGATTACGTTTTATTTTGGCGGGGAGTTTGGGCAGCTTCTGCTGTGATGTGGTTGCTGCCTTTTACTTTGGTAATGAAGGAGTTAAACGGTAACGCAGGTTTAAGACCCACTAGCTCCAACTCCAACCCACTGAACCAACGGGATCATGGGTCTAGTTCTTGGCGTCACTCGTGTTTAAACCCTGTTCTCTAATTCCACCTCGGATCGTCTTTACTCTGCGTAGGCTCGGAGAAACCGTGAGATTGCGATACTGCAGAGAAAGATCGATGAGGTGCCGAGTCGTGCCGAGCTGACCCAGTACCAGAAGAGGTTCATTGAACTCTACAGCCAAGGTGAGCCTCCCTTCTGTACGGGCTGGAACCAGAGTTTGAGTTTACATATCAAACACATTTTCTCTGGTTCTGTGCTCATTCTTGTTTTACCTTCCAGTTTCTGCAACGCACAAAGAGACCAAACAGTTCTTCACTCTTTACAACACCCTGGATGATAAGAAGGTCTACCTGGACAAGGAGGTCAGATTGAGTTTGGGTCTGTTTCTCCTGTGGCTGTAATGTTTCTGATATTCGTTCTGGTAAAAACGGGTTTACCTCTTCAGGTCACTCTGCTGAATTCAATCCATGACAACTTCCAGCAGTAAGAACAGTCTGCCGTGCATGAAACATACAACATTAAAGTATTACAAGGCGTTTCCTTCGTCTTCACTCGTCCAGTTCTAACCAGTTCTGTTCGTGCACAGGGCCATGTCGTCTGCAGCAGCCAAGGAGCAGTTCCTCAGGCAGATGGAGCAGATCGTGGAGGGAATTAAACAGAATCGCATTAAGGTACAAACCGCCCTTTTACACATGAGCTCTCCAAGTTAAACAGTTCAAATAAACGTTTATTCCAGGCGATAAAAGTCATTTCTCTGGTTGTTACTTCAATCCAGGCTCGACACCGAACATATTAACACCTCACAAACTGATCGCATCTGATTGGTCAAAAACGACGTCCTCCGTAGGGTGAGGAGACCAAAGTGTTGGTCTGTGGAACCGTGAGGGACAGAGATGTGGACACAAAAACCTCCGTTAACCAGGAGGATTTACAGGCGTTCATGGATGAAATGTAAACACCAGCAGACGATCAGGAATACGGTCAGCTGTTGGACCTCTGCTGTCGGCTCTGAGACTTAAACATTTGGCACTAAAACTTTGATTTAACGACTTCAGAAACGTCATCAGACACCCTGTTCTCACATCCTGTCATTCTACAAAATCTTTCAAACATAATCAGTAAATTAAGAAAAAGAATCCAAAAAAGTTCAATCTGGTCCTCTGGACATTCAAAAATTTTGAATGTCCAGAGGACCAGATTGAACTTTTTTGGATTTTTCTACCTGGATTATTGAGCATGCATCAGGATAAGAAAAAGAAGAAAACTTTAAGTGTTTAAAAAACTGGAAACAATAGAATGTATCAGAAATTGGTGCATACCTGGCATAAAACCCACTGAAACACTGAACCACTGTTTCACTGAGCCACTGTACTAATGAGCCACTTTATCACTGTAGCTCTGGTCCACTGTACCACTGATGGACTGTACTACAGTTACTGAACCACTGCACTGCTAAACTATTAAACCACTGAACAACTGTACCACTGAGTTACTGTGTCACTGAACCACTGTTCCACCAATCCAACACACCATTGATTCACTAAGCTGCTGTACCACTGAACCACTGTTCCACTGAAATTCTGTACCATTGTAGAACTGATCCATTGTTACTCTGGTACATTGCACCACTGATGTACTGTACTACAAAGCTACTGAATCACTGTACTGCTAAACCAATAAACCACAAAACAATTGTACCACAATGTACCATTGTACCAGTGATGTAATGTGCTACTGAATCACTGTTTCACCAATCTTAATATATCAGTGATCCATTGTACCACTAAGCTTCTTAACTACTGAGCCACTGAACCACTATACCACAGCACAACTGAACATCAGCACCAATGTATGACTGAACCACTGTACTTCTGGTTCGCCGACTGATCCACTGCACCACTAAACCGCTGTATAAGCTGAACGATCAAGCTACTGAATCACTGTACGGCTGAACCACTGCTCTGGTCCACTGTACCACTGAGCTACTGTACCATTGTAGAACTGATTCACAGTAGTTCTGGTCCTCCACTGATGGACTTAACCATGGAGCTACTAAACTACTGTTCTGCTAAACCATTAAACCACCCAACAACTGTACCACTGAAACATTGAGTCATTGTACCACAACATGGCTAAACATCTGTACCAGTGTATGACTGAACCACTGTACCTCGGGTTCGCTGTGCCACTGAACCATGGTAGAACTGATCTATAGCTCTGGTCCATTGTATCACCGATGCACTGTACTACAGAGCTACTGAAACACTGTACTGCTGGACCATTAAGCCACTGAACAACTGTACCATTAAACCATTGAACTACTATACCACTGATTCACTGTACCACCGAACTGCTAATCCACTATAACACTGTTCCATTGAACCATTGTTTCATTGTACCACTGCTACACTGAATCACTGTTCCACCAATCCAACATCCCACTGATCCAATGCACCATTAAATCACTGTACTGCTCAACTATTGAGCCACTAAACCACTGTATCTTTGATCTATGGAGTTGTACCTCTGAAAGGATGATCCACTGTACATCTGCGTCATTGTGCCAGTAAACTACTGTAACGCTGATCTACTGTTTCCCTAAGACACTGTCTACTAAAGCACTGATCCACTATTCCACTGCACCCACCAAGATACAGTATATGTCCCCTCAGTGAGGACTGAACTAGACAAAAGGACCTTCTCCTACTCCGCTCCTGTTTCATAGAATATCTTACAAAAAGATCTGAAACTCTCGACCTTGACCTCTCTAAGTGTCTTCAAACATCTGTTAAGTTCCTGGTAAAAACCAACGTAAGGTTGAATGAGTGAAATATTTGAGGCACTGAACCTCTGAGGTACTGAACCAGTGCACCAATGAACTAAAAGGCACAATACACCTGTGGCACCAGTGGTCCTGTGGTTCCATTGATGTTTGTGGAATCGTTGGACCTGTCCTGCTGTTGGTTGTGAACCATCGTTTCAGTAACACCAGTATTGGAACATCAAGTAGAACCTTCAGGATCTAATGACACTTTTCTTCTGTCTGAATATTAAGATGGAGAAAAAGAAGCAGGAGAACAAAATGAGGAGGGATCAGTTAAACGACGAGTACTTGGAGCTACTCGACAAGCAGAGACTGTACTTCAAAACCGTCAAAGACTTTAAAGAGGTTTGTTGTTTGTGCACTACGGGCCTTTTTAGCTGCTGCGAATGCCTCAACGCTGAGGTTGAACCTCTAAACACGGCTACTCGTTGAATAAGCCAAAACAAAACATTGAAAACTTGACTTTAACCATCCGACTGGTCTAAAGTTTGCCCCAGTAAGCTGATCAAATTGGGCCAGTCTAAAATAATCCAGATCCAGTTTCATTAAGATTCATTCAGGGAGTCCAGAAATATTTTGCTAACAGTACAGACCAACTCCTGCATGATAGATGTTTTGTTTTGTTCCATCCACAGGAGTGTCGGAGGAACGAGATGCTGCTGTCCAAGCTGCGAGCTAAAGGTGCCTCGTAGTGTCTGTCACCGTGGCGAAGGGGGCGGGGCTTGTCATGTCAGCGAGCTGAACTAAACAGACCAACTGCCGCAGAGAGCCCGACCAGTCGAGCCAAGAACTTACCCAGAGACATTAGAATGATCCAACCAGCAGGTTTTAATACATGACCTTTGGGAACAAGAAGCTGTGGAGAGCGTTCGATTCCCGTGTAACCCGATCAGGACTGAAACTGTAGCAGCAGCTTTTTGTTTTGTTTGGTGATCCGTGTTTCACAGCCTCTAGAAGATGTTAACTCCGCATGTTCCTGCAGGGTTTGTGGTGTCCTGTACCTCTTTGTGCCGTCACACATTCACCTTTGCTGCCACGGGATAATAAACAGAACCAGTGCATCATGAACAAAGAATGTTTCACCTGAAGAGCCTTCGGTGTCGGACTGGATGTCACTGTTACACCTGCCGCTGACTCAAGCTCCAAGTTACAGGAGTCCATGAAGGAAACACGCTGGGTGTTCCTGAAACGCCTCACCTCCTGGTTGAGAACAGGTTTCGAAGAGACGTTTCATTCACTACGATGTGTACAATTACATGAAAACAACCAGATTCAAAATACTTAGAGCAAGTTTTCCTGTAAAAATTAGTTAAACTGTTAGTTTAGTAATACTACCAGCGCTGCTAGTGCAAGTATAGTAATACTACCAG